ATTGCCCATGCCTAACACCTCGCCATGTGACATAGAGGATAAAATTTCTAAAGAACATCAGCCTCTCTTCAAGGGCTTCAATAAATTCTGGAAAGACTTTATCATAAGCTCTTACCATATAAAAAGCTTGATCATAAGGCTTGCTCCATTTGAGATCCTCCAGATTTTTAAGCAGTGAGTCAATGGTCTCCATAAGTTCACCTCTTGCAGGAGAACTGGAACGCACGGGGCAATCCACCAGAGTGGAATACAATTCTTTGATTTCTTCCTTGAATGAACCGATGATTTTTCGGAATTCAGAGACTACTTTCTCCAAGTCACTCGATGAGAACTCTTCCCCTGATATTTGCAGGAATTTCTGAAGAGCATCTTGAAGTCTAGCCAAGGAAGATCTCAGACTTACATGCTTATTATCATCAGATTCCAAACAGACATCTTTTCCACATTTTCTCGAACAGAGAAAGAGTGTTCTCAGAAGTCTTAACTCCAACTTCAGCATCCCCAACTCATCCCTCTTTTTCACTAAATATTTATCCAGCAACTCGAGATTATGCAAGATTGCATCGATACAAGCGGAACCCATCTCAGGAGAATTTGAATAAACTTCAAACTTGGAACTAAATGAAATGAAATCTTAACTCTGGAACTTGAAGCGATTCTCCTCTCTCCCTCTCAAGTTTTGGGTCAACCCTTTCATTTACAAATGAAAAAGACAGCGGGATTAGGCCAACATCCACACATTCCGCGGTTGAAAATGAACAGGTCAACTGTTATCCTACTGATTCCGCCGTAGCTAAATTTACAGTATTGTAGGTCTATTTTTATCTGTAACCATTTTGGGGTGGGGGTACAAAAAAGGATCTGTAGTTAAAATTAATCCATAGGCTCGTTTGAAAATCGGGAAATTTTGGTTGGAAGACAGGGGGAGAAAGAAATGGGAGTGAAATGAGGTGACAGATAAAAGGAAATTGAAAGACATTTCCCGCTCAAGTTCGGTAATTCCGTTAAACAGGAAAACTTGAGAATAGGAAATATTTGAATAATTTAAAGAGGATATAAAGTTTGGGAAGCTATGGACATGTGGAACAAAGTTACTATTCAAAATATTAGGAAACTATCAATTATAGTTTTCTCTTCACCTAAAATATGTTTATAAGAGAAGTTTAAGGTAAAATATTATATGTAAAATATTAGCTAAACTGTACGCGTCACGTGACAACACATTAATATCAATCAAAAGTCACCAACTAACGTCATAGGTCATTCTACTAAATAAGAAATTGATCACCATTATTATTTAGTGATATATGATTGTTATTAGTGTATCACGTGACATAGCACATAACATATGGCTTCGAGAGTTGAAATATGCCTTAAACAATCAGGCACCTGAATCAGCTGCATACAGTTCTGCACTACTAATTTCTGAAGAAAGGGAAACTGATCGTCTGGACCTGTCCACCTGACAATGTCCAGTAATTCCAATACCAAGATTCTAAGTTTAGGGAAATCCCCTTCTTTCATTTCCCAAACTTCTCCCCCATGATCTCCTCGTAGTTTGAGAACCTCAAGGTTGGGTAGCTTTCCTACCGGGGGGAATTGCACTCCAGGAAAAGCTCGATAGAGTTAACTTTTTTAGGTTCAAGGGAAAACAAAACTCGCAATGGTTCTCTTTCATATCATACAGAGAAAGTTTTAGTGATTCTAATCTGACTCAAAAAGTCCAGGTCCACAATCTTATTGCAATCTTCCATGGTTCCTTGGCTTCAGAGACTCTGCATTTTAGTCTTTGGATTTTTGGAAATTTTCTCATTATTGTTTCCATCTGTTGTCCAACATACAGAATTGGAGTGAAAAAGGTGTCTATATTCTTCAGATCATGGGAGTTTTCAAGATTCTCTCCGGCCAAAGTAAGGTGTAAAAAGCCACCACTTATGTGGAGATGCCTCAATTTCGTCACATTCCAGATGGTATCTGGCAAGGAAACAGAACAATAATATACTTCCAACAGGAAAGTTTCCAAGTTTGATAGGTTCGCTATTGATGATGGGATGGATTGCATTGCACCTAGAACTGCCAGATATCTCAAGTGAACAAGCAATTCAATCTCGGTAAAAAGTCACCTAGATGAACTTGCTGTAGATCCAAAACTTTAAGAAGTTTGAAGATGCGAAAAATGAATGAGATATTACACCGATTAAGAGGGTACCCATCGTCACAAGTAAAGAACAGTAGGCTGCGTAGTTGGCTACAAAATGGCCTCGACTTCTCAAGATGCTCTCCTTCAGAATAAGTGCACAACCTGCGTATATTGTGTGGCTCATCAAATGTAAGAAGCTCATCATATCCATGCAAAAATTGCAGGAAATTTTCCTCTTTCGCTTTTGCCAAACAAAACTCATGTAACAAATCATGAATGTGGCAAGTTTTGACCCCTCCTGTGGAGCTGCGTTTTGCCAACATAACCAAGCTTTTGCCAATTAGACCCATCACGTAATCCTCTGCTATGTCCTTTAAGCTCCTTCCCTCTGATTTTTGCACAAATCCTTCCGCGATCCATAACCACATCAACCTCCAAATAGGAATTTCTTGGTCTTTTAAATATGCTCCAAATTAGAGAAAGCATGGCTTCAAACAATCAGGTAGATATCTGTAGCTCATCTCTAATATGTTCATGCAGCGCTCTGTGCCACAAACAATATCAGAACTTAGCCCTTCTGCAACTGCTTCCCAACCATCTTCCTCCATAGTTGCAAGAATCCCAGCTATGATGACAACTGATAGAGGTAGCCCATTACAATTCTTAGCTATTTGGATTCCAAGATCACATAGTTCTTGTGGAAAAGCTTTTCCAGGAAATAGCTTCTTTCACAATAGTTCCCAGCTCTCATCATAACTAAGTTGGCGAAGAGGGTAAGGTCTACCATCGGGTTTAATCTGCAAAGCCACCTCTTGAAGTCGACTTGTCAAGAGTACTAGCATCATTGGTGAATGACCTTTCCAACCCATTCCTTGCATCTATATCCCAAACATCATCCAAAATGATGAGATGCCTATTTCCTTTCAAACATCTGTAGAGTTTTTCCACCAAACCATCTTCATTCATTGCAAAATATTCATGACAAAGCTTCGGAACAATACAATCCAGAATCTCGAGAAATATATCTTTCGTACGATACTTGAGAAATGCAACACCATACTTCTTACCATCATAAATCTTCAAGGCTTCAGTCTTAATATGTTTGATTTCTTCTCTAAGGCTACTAAGTAACATAGCAGAAGAATAAGTAGTGTCTCCAACCAGTAACGAGTCAATGACAAACTCAAGCCTTGTGTCCCACCTCTGTAACAGGATTCCAAAGAGCTTGAAGCTTTTCATCCAGGCTGCACTGCTCCACAATACTCTCCAGTAAAGATCTTAGAAATACAAGATCTTCCTGCACTGTTTGAATCTGATCCTTTGCAAAAGCAATTGATTCAACCTTGCAGCTTAGTAGTTCCTTCATATTTTCAAGGAGATAATCGTCAAAGCCCGGCTCATTTGTCTTGGAAAGTCAAATTCTGACGTTAATGGGCACTTGTCTGCAATTTTGGGCGTCAAAAGCGTAACTATTTCGAGCCAAGCAAAGAGCACAAGCTCCATTTCCACGGCTGACCCTTGTTCCAATTCATGAGTAAAAAGCCAGCAAGTTATAGTACCAGCACTATTTACAAAAAATTATCATACAAGTATGCTCTCAAACGCTAGAAATAAGTATTTATTAAGTACTTTTTGTAACAATTCTATTAAACAAAGTACTTTATTATAAATTACCGCAATCCTGAATTGGCTCTAAATATGCAAGAGGAATCTGGGAATTTGGGAAGCATAACTGAAAAAGGGTTGAAAATTATGGCAAAATGTAATGAAAATTAATCATCACGAAATTGATTCTACGTTTTGTGTAATTATTTTTATACTTGATAAACTTTGTACATCTGGTCAAATTCTGCCACAATGAAGAAATAATGAAGGAATTGCGTCTGAATCACATTTTTTTATGGATGGTTTTCTTTTTCTTTTTTCTTTTTTTTTTTCAATTTGTGGTAACTTTTTGGTATCTCATTTACAATTCAAAGTTGCAACCTAAAAGGATAACTTTTATGTTCTAAATTGTGTCACCCTAAATGGTAAAGTTATAAACTTTTTTTTTTTCTTATCTTCACTTTATCCTTGTGGTAAAACGTATTGGGATACTTGGTCAAAAACTTTGGCAAGTTTAATTAGCAACTCACTATTGCTTTGGAAATGCTTTTTCTCTAATGTTTGGTCTCATTGTTTTTGCTTCAAATTACCCCTTTTTTTATTCAATTTTTTGCCTTTCATATGAGCACTTCCTAGTTTGATCAATTCCAAAAATTTCGCTCTGCAACTTTAGTCCATCTGCTGGAGAAATGAACTTCAAAATATAGACAGATGAAGGAGAAAATTGTGGTGCAGACAAAGAAATCCAGACAAACATGAAGAGAAATTGTTGGAGCAAATGAGGAAAGGTCACCAGAAATAGCAATTTCAAAACTTCATTGTCAAACCACTAGCAATAGAAGAATTCAACTGTGGCTGCACTTTCATTACAGAAGGCAGTGAAAACAAATTCAAAGTATCAGAAGTAGCAAGAAAATGAAGAAAAACAAAGAGTGTCCTAAGCTGAAACCATTGCCAGGTGCTGAAGTGAAACACAGAAGCTAATAGATGATAACAGATGAAACACTCAGCAATATTCTTTATTCACAAAAATCCACTACAGTCATGCATTTATTAGTACAAAGCATCCTTCTTCAAACAAGAACTAAACTTGGTAACAGGTGGTCATCACAACTTCATTTATTAATTAGTACATTGATTTCATATCCAAATCTCTGTCAACAATGAAAAACATAAATAGATTCAACCACTTGACATGTTATGCGACATGTGAGGGCGAATTCTTGCTTCTGAACAGAACATCCATGGTCTCGTATCACTGGAAGATAAAGATCTTGAAATCATAATTTCCTGAGCTGTTCTGTTCCTCCTCAATCTTCAAAAGTAAACTTCTATCCAAGACTGGGCAGTCACGCACCTCAATCATTCCTAGATGTTCAATAACCTCTAAGCAAGAAGGGATCTCTTCTAGTTTGCGACATTCCTGCAGCACTAATTTCTCAAGACAGGGGAAATGATCGCTCGTGCTGGTCCATCTCACAATGTCCAAGGAGCCTAACTTCAAGAATCTGAGTTTTGGGAGTTCCCATTCTTCTTCCATGTCCCAAGTATTCTCCTCACAGTGGATGGAAAGTAGTTTGAGTACCTCAAGATTGGGTAGATCTCTCAGTTCTGGAATTATACTCGAATGCAAGTATGACAGAGACAGCTTCCTTAGGTTCGAGGGAAAATGAAGCTCGCTATGATACTTTACTCTTCCAAATGATGAGGACAGGTGGAGTGATTGTAGTCGACTCAAAAACTGCACTGCCACGGTCCTGTTGCAATCCCCAGTAGATTTCCCTGATTCAAAGAGTGTGCATTTTAGTCTGCGGATGTTTGGCAACTTCCTCAGTATCTTTTCAATGCTTTGCCCAGAAGAAAGGCTAAGCACAGAAAAGGTCTCTAAATTGTGTAAGACAGAGGACATTTCAAGGTTTTCTGTGGCCAAACTAGACCCAAGCAAGCTAAAACCACCATGCAGATGTCTTAATTTCTGCATATTCCAGATAGTATCTGGCAATACAGCTGTACTATGACTTTTGACAAGAAGAGTTTCTAAATTTGAGAGGTTGGATATTGATGATGGGATCGAATCGAATTCACCCTGAGCTGCCAAGTACCTCAACTCAACAAGCAATAGCGTTTCACTTGGAAAGCAAAATCCTAGACGGATTTGCTCCAAATTCAACACATTAAGAAGTTTGAAGATGCACAGATTGAATAAGAGACGACAATGCTTCGGTCCATACGCATTATCAAGAGGAAAGAATAGTATAGAACGTACACTGGGACAAAATATCCTTGACCTCTCAAAATGTTCTTGGAGAGAATACACGCACAACCATTGCTGATTACACTGCCCATTGAAGGTGAGAAGCTCATCATACCCACTTACCAAAGACAAAAATTTCTCCTTTTTCGCTGTTACCACACAAAACTCATGCAACAGATCATGAACACAACAGGCTTTAATGCCTCCTAAGGATCTTTCTTTGGAGATCATAACCAAGCTTCTGCCAATCAGATCATTGATGTAGTCCCCGGCCACATCTTCTAAGCTCTTTCCATCACTTAGTTGAACAAATCCTTCGGCGATCCATAATCTCATCAGCTTCCCAAAAGGAATCTCCTGGCCTACTGGAAATGCACCGAAGTAAAGAAAGGATGGTTTCAGATAATCAGGTAAGTTTCTGTAACTCAACTTTATTATGTCCATGCACTGTCCTGTGATAGAAAGAGTATTTAAGCTTAGCCTTCCTGCAATCTCTTCCCAACCATCCTGCCCTGAATTTGAAAGAATTCCAGCTACGGTGACTACTGTGAGGGGTAATCCCTTACAATTTTTTGCTATTTCCCTCCCTAGTTTCTCATCATAGCTATCCCTGCAAGATAGCCTCTTTTGTAACAGTTCCCAGCTCTCATCATCAGTGAGTTGGCGAAGGTAGTGAGACTCACGGTTAGGATTAATTTTTTGGCTACTTCAGGATGTCTACTTGTGAAGAGGATCCTGCTTCCATTGGCATCATTGGGCAGCGATCTTTCCAACCCACTCCATGTGTCAGCATCCCAGACATCATCCAAAACAATGAGATACTTATTTTTCAGTAAACGCCTTTTGAGCTCTTCCTCCAAATAGACTTCACTCTTGTTCAGATATTGATCAGAAAGTTCAGGAACAATCCATCCCAAAATCTGAAGAACCAAATCTTTCTTTGTATATACTTGAGAAACAATGCACCATGCATGACTATGAAATGTGCGTGTAACTGAAGGATCATTAAAAACACTTCTGGCCAAAGTAGTCTTACCTAGTCCTGGCATACCTACAACAGAAATGATATCCAACTGTTTTGATCCACTTACAAGTTGATCAATTATCTTCTTTGCCTCGTCATTCAAACTCACCACAGCTTTGTTGATTGCTGGCGTTCTACCCTGTGCTGGCAAAGAATTGGAAGACCTGATAGGTTTTTGGGATGCCAAGCTACACCTATTGTCACCAATCTTCAAGGCCTCCATCTTAATAAAATTAATTTCTTCTGTGAGTGGACCAAATATCGTTGGAGAATAATCAGGATCATTTCCGACAACTAAGGATTGAATCATAAGTTGTGCTTTGTACGCCACCTCTACAGCATGACGGGAAAGAGCTTGAAGCTTTTCATCCTGATTACGTTCTTCCAGATTATTCTCCAACAAGGATCTCAAGGATATAAGATCATCTAGTACTGTCTGAATTTCATTGCTTGCAAAAACATTTGAATCAACCTTACAACCTGGCAAATCTTTGAGATTTTGTAGAAAAAAGTTCATAAAGCCAAGCTCATCTGTCTTAGGAAAGATAAGTGCTGATGTTACTACCTTGATAAGCTTAATATTTCCCAGCAGGTTGACAAGTGCAGAATCCATTTCCTTGGCCAAGCCTTCTTTCAATCCTTGCACAAATAGTGAGCAAATTACGATCCCTGCCTCACTGACAGCAGCTCGAATGAGATCCTTAACTTTGTTAGGCAACTTCCCAAAGTACTTCTTGAGAATGGTTCTCAAGAATCTGAGCCCCTCATAGAGAATTGGCATTTGATCCTCCAAAGAAACCACACAAGTAATACTGTGCGTCAGTCCTTCCCAAATCCGATATAGGAGGGAATCAACAAAATCCCCTAGTATATGCTCTTCTATCTCCAATGTCCGAGCATGTGGCGATCCAGATAGCAAGACTTGGATGTATGTCTCACGGATTTGTGGATCAACAGCCGCCATCTTTTGTAGCAGCTCAGAAAAGATCAACCGCATTTTATCATCCCGTGCTTCTTTATCATCATATGGGTAAAACACCCACATGTGGAAGACTCTTGCTGCTGCATCGATAGCCACAACTTGTAAACGCATGAAGAGAACTTCCAACTGCCCATACTCAAAGCCTCGCCATTCTGCAAAGCGAATGAAGTTCTTCAAGAAAGCCACCTTCTCTTTGAGGGCTTCGAGTAAATCTCGCACATCTTGGTCATCAACATTTACCCAAGTTTGGACATCCTCTATATTCACTAGCAGGAAGTCGATGAAATCCATAATTTTTGGGCCCCAGCTGGAATGGTTTTGCAATGAATTGTAGTAATCCAACAAATTGATATAGGATCGGCTGATTTCTTGCCTCAAATTGTAGATGCAAGTGGTTCTTATTTCGCCAACCTTGTGATCAAACTTGGACTTCCAATCGAAAGTCCCTTCTTCCTCTCCTCCAAGACCATAAAAGTACTTATCTTTTCCCTTCAAGAGATTGAAAGAGGCTTTGCTGCCCATCCCCATGAAACCTTGACCATAGCTGAATCGTTCTTTTCCCATATAAGAACGATTATACGAGTACGGTCCCTGTTTCAAGGGGAAGAACTGTTCCTGTTTCAGGCGGATCAAATGGGAATTCAAACCCAGTTTGCGGAATCTTTCTTCACTAAGACAATCATTATACAAGTCCAGAATTTTTTTCTCTACTGCAGGTTCAAGGCTAGTCAAGAAAGATGCCAGATTATTGTTGTTACCAGGTTTGGAATACAGATCGTAGTTCCACTCTCTTGCACACCAAAAGAGGGTTCTCAGAAGTCTCAACTCCGCCTTCAGGTCCAACACCCTGTTATATTGTACACCAAAATCTTTCACCAGCAACTCTAGATCACGCAAGACTGTAGCAATGATATCAGAGGCCATCTCTGTCTCTTTCAGATCAGATCCCTCGGCTCTTCAGCAGCAATAGAGAAAACTGAAATGAAAACTTGAACAGCTAAAGCTAATGCTGGCTATTCCACTCTGCCAATGGAGTATTCAGTCAAATTCCATAGGAAAAGAGATAGGTTTTGTGGCAAGTTTCGGCTTTTGCAATGAACAGAAATAATTGTAGTAACTTAATACTCCCAGAATGGACAAAGTGGCCGGCTTTCGCAAGTTCCGGTTATTGCTAAAGATTCCACACCCGAAATGGACACCATAATAATGGTGGTAACTAAAATTTCCCGTTCATCGAGGGGGCGCCACATTTTTCATTTTAAAACATTTAAAATATTTGTCAGGCTGAAAAGATCAAAATATATTTTAATTTTAATTTTTAATATAATCTTTCTTTTTAATCATATCCATGCTATTCATTCAACTTTTAATTTTAAATTTATAAAAATAAAATTAAAAAAAATGTAAACATCATAATTAAATTATTATTTTTAAAATGTTAAATTCTTAAAATATAACTGAATAATCGAAACGGAGGGAGTAATTGCAATACTGCACTGCATCAATCAAGCTTGACTTTTCTTAAGGTGATTGGAGCCCTACGTTACTATTTCTTGATGCTTTTTTGACAGGTGGATGGGAGACCAAATGCTAGATTTTGGTGGGGTAAGGGAGAAAAGGAAAACGCTGTACACTGGACAAGTTGGAAGAGAATCTCTGAACTAAAAGGAAAATGAGGGTTGGGATTTAGGGATTTAGTGGCTTTCAACACAGCCCTGCTTGCAAAAAAAAATTGGAGATTCAGAACATTTCCAAATTTGTTAGCAAGCACGGTAATGACAGCTAAATAGTAGCTGTGTTTTCAAATTCGGATCGGATCGGTCGGTCCGACCAGTTGAACCGAGAATCGGTCAAGTGTTCGGTCCGAGTTGGTCATCAGAACCGAGAGATTTAAAACCCGGTCAACTCCGGTCAAAAACCGGGTTTGACCGGTATAGAACCAGAAAAACCGGTCCAACTGGAGATTTTGTAAAAAAAGTTTAAATTTTTTTAATATTATGTTTTAACCCCCTAAATTGTGAAAACTTATTAATATACCTCAAATATTTTATACTTTATAAATATTGTCCTAAAATTTGATGTTATTTTTCAATTAAATCCATAATTTTAATTCTAAACTTGTTAATGTTTATTAAATAATATAAATTGTTACTTGATTGTTCTAATTTCTTTGTATTTTCTTGTTAAATATATTTGAAACATCAAATATATATAAATATACCTTTATTAATATCAATATGTTATTAGATATTTTATATACAATAATTTAATTTTTAAATAATTTTTATTTATGACGTCATCCGGTTCGACCCCTATCGACCCCCGGTCGAACCCATTGACCCCTGACCCCTGACCTCAGCCGAGTCGATATCCGGTCCGGTTCTGAAAACATAGCTAAATACATTAGAGATCCAAGCTGGTTGGAGAAGGAACCCCCAAAGACAGCATCATGGTGCTGGAAAAGCATCCACAGTGCAAGGAAACTACTGCTTGAAGGATTATGGAAAAGAATTGGTGATGGAACAAATGTAAACATTTGGAAGGATAAGTGGGTAATGGGATCAGAAATGGGTATAGTGACCACAAAAAGACCTGCAAATTGTCATTTAGAATATGTAAGTGATTTGATAGAGGATGGCAGATGGAAAAGGAGACAATACTGCAACTGTTCTGCGAAAAGAAGGCAGAGCTGATAGAAAACATCCCTCTTAGCCTGCACAGAAGGATGGACAGATCATTCTAGAGATTTTCCAAAACTGGAGTGTATACCGTCAAATCTGGATATGCAATGGCTAAAGAGGAGGAAGACCAGCATAAGAAAACGAAGGGGATGAATGCTGAAACTAGTAGGGAGATTAGGAAGCACAGCGTTTGGAAGAGGCTATGGGGACTCAACATAAAGGCAAAATTGAAGCACTTCATCTGGAAATGCCTGCAAAACTGTATCCTTGTTATGAGGTGACCTTTAGAAGAATAGGAAAGCGAGATGCAAGATGTGATTGCTGTGGACAAAATTTGAAACTATAGAACATATGTTTTTCTTTTGTGCAAATGCTGAGCTAGTTTGGAAATTGGCCCCAGTTAAATGGGGGGACTAAAAGAGCAACAACACTTGTGGAAATGGTGGGAAATGGTAATGCAAGCAAGCTCAATGGACCATGGACAAGACAGGATTAACATCACAATCAGCATATTATGGCAAATCTGGAAAGCTCGGAACAAAAAGGTGTTTGAAAGAATCAATCCAAACTCAAACAAAATTGTGAAGAAGGCACAAGAAGAATGGATAGAGTATGAACTGACAAAGGAAACTGAAAGGGAAGAACCAGGCAATGCTGCTATGTCGCAACAACAACAACAAAGCAGGAGAAAAATATCAAAGGAAGGAGTGATCAAGTTGCATATTGATGCAGCAATATCTGCAAGAATGATAAGAACGAGGCAAGGCATAATAGCAAGGAACTGGATAGGAGAAATTGTGAAGGCAAAAGGGATAGTACATCAAAGAAAGAGTGAAGCCAGCATGGTGGAAGCACTAGCTATGAGAAATGCATTAGTGATGGCCAAAGATGCAGGGTGGACCAAGATAGAGGTCTACACAGACTGCAAATCAGTGGTGGATCAAATCAACACATGCAATGTAAATAACTACAACATTGCAACCATTTTGGAAGATATTCAGGAATTAAGGCAATGGTTTCAAAGCTGCAGCTTTTCTTTTGTGCATAGAGCAGAAAATAGATGCAGCCATGAACTAGCTCAATTTGCAGTACAGTTAGTCCAGGACATAGAATAAGAATGTGATTTCCCAGTATTGCTGCTAGAATTAGCAAGAAAGGAAATGAGGGCAGTGTCCCCTTTTGTTATTAAATTTTGTAATATCAAGTTTAATATATAAAAAGCTGTTAATGTTTGTTGGAAAAAAGATAGGACCAAATGCTGTACACTTCTTGCAGAGAATCAAATAGTAAACTATTTTGCTGTCGCTTCACATATGCAAAAATATATATATACACTAGAGTCAATGTACAAGATACACAGGGATTTGGTCTTTGGTTCTCTTGCGAATGCCAAGTAACGCCCATGCAATAGGGTTGCGAACGAATCAAGTCAAATCGAATTTTGGTCTAATCAAGTTCATTCTCGACTTGATTTTATCAAACTCGAATTCGATCTCGAACTCGACAAGCTCTCAATATAAAGTTCGAATTAGAGATCGACCTCAAATTTGAACCGAGTCGAGCTCGAGCTCGAAATTAAAAAAATAAAAAATAATTATTTTTTATTTTTTTTAAATGGATAAAATAGTAAATTTTCTTAACAAATAATAAAATATTAGAAATTTATATGTAATTTCATTATTAAAATAAAAATAAATATGTGTGTGTGTATGTATATATGTGATCGAACCGATTTATAAGTTGAGTATCTTTGAACTCAAATTTAAATTCGAACTCGACTTGATCGACTCGAATTCGGTGTTGACCAGTCGAATTGAGTTTTAACTCAAACTGCTTCTCGCTCGACTCGTATGCGGCCCTACTGTGCAATGGACAATCCAAGATCAGGTAAACCAGACTCGACTCATCTCCACTATTGATTTCAAAATCAGTTGATTTTAAAATAACGGATTCTTTGTGCTTCAAAAAACAGAGGGTTATCTAAATGAAAAGAATAACGGAAGAAGAAAACAGCAAGTAAGTATTAGAAATCACAAAAAATTTTCACAATGATACAAAAGTTGAGGAAGGTTAACGTACATTATCCTTTTAATAGTAAAATTGCAATTTTACATAAAGTATGGAATCTTGTGTTGCAATGATATTCCATATCCGGATAAATAAACCGTGCCATGTCAAATACACCTCATGCGATATTATTACTATTAGGGGATTTTGAGCACATCATTGTGGAGAAAAAAATGTACAAGTCATCACTATCAAATATAAGAGCAAAATACATGGTAATCATGTTGGTTACCTCTACCTAAATCTGGGCCAACCTATGAAACTGTCCGTGACGATCAAAACGTGCAAGTCTTCCTCAAACAAAAATCTGGAAATCCTCATTTCCAGAGTCTTTTTGCTCTTCCTCAATCTCCCAAACTGAACGTACAGCCGAATCTGAACAGCCGTGTACATCAATCATTTCAAGAGTTGAAACTTCCCCAAAACAAGAAGGGACTTCTTTCAGTCTCCAGCATCGAACCAAGACTAGTTTCCGTAGACGCGGGAACTGATCAGATGAGCATTTCCATCGAAATATACGCAACTGTTCCAGTTTCAAGTACTTGAGCCGAGGAAACTCAAATCCTTCCATGTCCCATGTATCCTGCCGAGAGATTTCATGACCTAATTTGAACACCTCAAGGTTGCATAGTTTCCCAATCATTGGAATTTCACTCCAATGGAAATATAAGAGACTTAACTTCTTTAGACTGATCAACGGAAAACGAAACTCAAGAGTGTACCTCCTGCGCTGATCCAGCATGAGCTTGAGCGATTCCAATTGGCTCAGAAAATCCATTGCCACAATCTTATTACAATCTCCATTATATTCCTCAGATTTGAAGAGCTTGCATTTTAGTCTGCGGATGTTTGGGAATTTTTCTAATATCCTTTCGCTTTGTACCGAACTAAGAAACAAAACAGAAATGCTGTCTAAATTATGTAAACTCCCCAGGTTCTCTTCAGCCAAATTAAAAGTAAAACCATTTCTTGCGTCTAGTCGCCTCAATTTCTTCAAATTCCATATAGTATCTGGCAGTAGGACATTTCTGTCTGCTTGGACGATAAAAGTTTCTAAATATGAGAGATTGCCTACTGATGAAGGGATGGAATTGGCTGAAAGATGAATTGCCAAGTACCTCAGCTCAGAAAGCAACCCTATTTTACTTGGAAGTTCACCATGTAGACAAAATTGTTCCAAGTCCAAGACTCTCAGACGTTTGAAAAAGACAAATAGGAATTTAGGAAAACCACTTCGGACCATCTCATCCTCCTGAGCATAGAACATCAGAGAGTTCGCACGGGTTGAGCATAGCCTTGAGTACGCAAAAATATCCTGCCCTGAAAAAATGCATAACCTTCTCAGATTGCGTGGCTCATCAAAGGTGAAAAGCTTATCATCTCCATGTAAAAACTGCAGAAAATTTTCTTTCTGGGCTTTTACCAAACAAAACTCGTGCAACAAATCATGAATGCGGCAAGTTCTAACACCACCTAGGGATCTTTCTTTGGAAACCATAACCAAGCTTCTGCTTATGAGTTCATATATGTACTCCTCAGCTACATCCTCCAAGCTCTTTATCACACTTTTCTGGACAAATCCTTCAGCGATCCATAAACTCATCAACCTCCAAGAGGGAATCTCTGTGTCTTCGGGAAATGCTGCGAAGTAGAGAAAGCATGGTTTTAGATATTCAGGTAAATGCCGGTAACTCAGCTCTAATACATTCATGCAATGATCTGTAGCACAAACAGCACTTAATCTTAGTCTTTCCACGATCTCTATCCAGCCATCTTTCTCCAGTTTAGCAAGAATTCCAGCTACCGTAACAATTGTGAGAGGTAGTCCCTGACAATGTTTGGCTATCTGCATCCCTAGATCACTGTGCGCTGAAGGATAGCCTTCTTCTTCAGGTAGCTTCTTCTGCAGTAATTCCCAGCTCTCCTTATCAGTAAGTCGTTGAAGATGGTGAATTGTAACATTTTCGTTGATTTCTAGAGCCACCATAGGAAGTCGACTGGTTAAGAGGATTTTACTTCCATTGGCATTATCTGGGAAAGATCTTTCCAACGTATTCCAGACCTCACTACTCCACACATCATCAAGAACAATGAGATACCTATTTTTCATCAAACGCTGCCTTAGCTTTTGTTCCATCTCATCTTCAGTCTTCTTTGAATATTCATCACCACAGTGGTGTTTTTTTCTTTGTAGCTGATCATCAAAAAGGTCAGGATCCATACAACTCAAAATCTGAAGCAGCAAATCCTTTTGCTGATAGAGTTGAGAAACAGTACACCATGCACGGACATGAAAAAAGCATCTAATTGAAAGATCATTATAAACATTTTGGGCCAAAGTCGTTTTACCTATTCCAGGCATACCAACAATGGAAACAAACCCCAACTGCTTATGTCCTCTTGTAAGTTTGTGAATTATTCTGGCTTCATCTTCCAACCTCACCCGAACTTTGTTGGTTGTCCTGCTCACACTATGGGCTTCCAACCTATACTTATTGTCACAAACCTTCATGGCTTCAATCTTAGCAAGATTAATCTCTTTAAGCTCTTCCCTGATGGAATCAAATATGATTGGAGACCAAAAATCTGGAAAGTCTCCAATGAACAAGGATTTAACCGTCAGCTGTGTCTTGTGCGCCACCTCCATGACCGGTCTCCGAAGGGCTTGGTTGCTCTGGTCCACACTGATCTCCAAGAAAGATCTTACTGATACAAGATCTTCTCGGATAGTTTGAATTTGATCCTTTGGAAAAGCAATTGAACCAACCTCACAACTCGGCAGCTCTTTCAGCTTTTCAAGGAGAAAATCCATAAAACCAAGCTCATTGTTTCTTGAAAAGATGAATGTCGATGTAACTACTTTTACAAGCTTAATCTTTCCCATGAAGTTGAAAAGTGACAAATCGAATTCCTTGGCCAAGATATTTTTCAAGTTGTGCAAAACAAGTATGTAAATCATGATTACTGCTTCTTTGACCGCAGCTCGAATGAGATCCAAGATTTCTTTCAAGTCGTGCAAAAAAAGTAGGCAAATTATGATTCCTGCTTCGTTGACCGCAGCTCGAATGAGATCCTTCTCTTTTTCATGAAGCTCATCAAACTTCTCCGGGTACTTCATAAGAATGGTTTCCAAGAATCTTAGTCCCTTATAGAGCAGTGGTATTTGCTCCTCAAAACAGATAATCAACACGGCATCACGATTTAGTAGCTTATCAAGACTGTCCAGGAGAAAATGAACATGGCCCTCCAATCGATCCTTGTTGGTCTCCAGAATGTTGGATGATCTTTTCCAGTGTGTAGCTGTCAAGACTTTGATGTAACTCTCACGGATCTGGGGTTCAAAAAACACGAATTTTGCCAGCACCCCAGAAATCTTTGTTTTCATTTCGTCACGCACGATCGCATCCCTTTTGCGACCCGTGGAAATGAAAAAGACGCTTGCCGCTGCATTGACTGCCACAAGTTCCAAATGAGTCAAGAGAACCTTCAACTGCTTGTGCTGAAACCCTTTCAATTCTGCAAAGTGAATGAATCGTTTGAAGAATTCCAGCTTCTCTTTAAAGCTTGAGATCAGAGCTCGCAAGTGGACATCGCCCAAGTCGTCCAAGTCGACAAGATCTTCCATATTTGCTAACAGCGAGTCAATGAATTCCATAAGTTCGTCTCTGGATTGCAAGGAGTAACCCACCGCAGTGATGCTGGAATAGGATTCGCTGATTTTTTGTGTGAAAGACCATAAGCTTCCCCGAAAATCTTCCGCCATCCCAATAAAATAAGCTTTCATGTGAGATTGTGGATAGAATCGTTCCTCTACTCCAAAACGAATGAAGTCCAACTCCTTTCCTATTCGGTCAACTGCATCTTCAAGGCTATGCAACAGAGATCCAAGACTTGCATTTTCATCTGATTTAAAGTAGAGAAATATGCTACGCATGAAAGATCCAAGAGATTCCCAACTGATCAAACGATTGCTGCTCCTAGCACACAAAACAAATGTTCTCAGAAGTCTTAGATCCATCCTCAGCCCCGTCCACAGATGAGATTCTACGTCCAGATCTTTTGCCAGATGCTCTAGAGCATTTAAGACTATATCAACGAAAGCACAGCCCATCTTTGATTCTTTCTATCCTCTGCAGCAATGGAAGACACTTGAAACTTTACCTCTTTTTTTCAACTTCAGTGAACACGAACTCCAGGAACTAATCCATGCTATTCTCAGCGGTTCTTGTCTCAATATTTCGGTAAACCCCTTCCTACAATGAATGGAACAAGATCTCTCTCTTCCCTTCTCTCTCTCTCTCTCTCTCTCTCTCTCTCACTTTTTTTTTTTTTTTTTGTACACAGGTGCAACTGTAGAGCGACTCTATGGCCGCAGGGGAAAGGTCGTTTATACGCTCAACAACACACGGTGGTGTTTGGAATTGTACCCAAAAAATTTTACATTTTTTTTAAATTTTTTACATGTATTAAATTGTTATAGTATATTTTTTTCATACAAATTTCAAAAAATTACAATTCAAATGGAATGGAACCCTCCTCTTTTGGTAAAAAGAAAAAAGGAGCATTTGCACAAGGGAAAAATCATTTAAAATTTAGTCTCAATCTAAATTTTTTATCATTTTTTACTCTAAATGATCAATTTTTTTTAAGAGCAAAAGGATTAAATCTCATTTATAACCAAACAAACAACTGGATCCATTATTCAATTTTGCTCTCTAAAGAAGTAGAATTTGACTCTTACCATATTCATTTTTAACCCAAAAAAAAAAAAAAGAAATCGGATCAAAATTATATTAATCTTTGTCACTACAAAAGCAAGATCTGACATTTATATACATAAAAAATGATAACATGTGAATCATTTTGTGATTTCAACTAAAAAGAAATTAAAAATTTAGGTTAGAACCAAATTTTACTTATTTAAATTTATAAGAAATATAAAATTAATATTTTAAAAATAAAAAACAAAAAAATTTATTTAACAAAATGTCATGATGGTTGTTTTGAATGGTTTCCTTTTCCAAAATGTGCCCGCAAACATATATTATAATCGCTATTACTTTCTACTACCAAATGACTCTCTTAACATTTCGAAGTTTCCAAATAACCCCACATAATTTTATATAAAGGGAAAACTTGACTAAAAGCAGCTTCCTATTAGTTGAAATGCTAGTGTTAACCAAATGAGAACTAAATAGATATGTATGTTAAACTATATGGAATTAAGTGGATATTATAGACCACTTGGCTTCTTATCTTTCTGAGCAAAGAAAAGTAGAGAGCTCACATTGGTACAACATAGCCTTGAGTTTGCAAAAACATCTTGCTCCGAGAAAAGGCATGGCCTCTGTAGATTTCATGGCTCATCAAAGGTGAAAAGCTCATCATGCCCATGCAGAGAAACTGCAGAAAATTTTCTTTTCTGGCTTTTACCACACAGAACTCATGCAACAAATCATGTATGTGGCAAATTCTTACACCTCCTAGGGATCTTTCTTTCCAGACCATAACCAAGCTTCTCCTTATCAGTTCACACACATAATCCTGAGCCACATCTTCTAAGCTCTTTACATCACTTTTTTCCACAAGCCCTTCAGCGATCCATAAACTCATCAACCTCCGAAAAGGAATCTCTTGGTCTTCAAGAAATGTCCCAAAATAAAGAAAGCACGGCTTTAGATAATCAGGTAAATGCCCATAACCAGCTCTAAAACATCCATACACTGATCGGTGGCACAAACAGCAGCGCTTAAACTCAGTCTTTCTGCAATCTCTTTCCAACCATCTTGCTTCAGATTTGCAAGAATTCCAGCTACTGTTAACAACTTTGAGTGGTAGCCCCTGACAATGTTTTGCCATTTGCATCCCCAGATCACTCTGTGCTAAAGGATAGCCTTCTTCTTCACAAGCTATCTGTTTCTGCAGTAATTCCCAGCTCTCCTTATCAGTAACTCCTCGAAGATGGTGAATTTTACCATTCTGGTTAATCTCAAAAGCCACCTTAGGAAGTCGACTTGTTAAAAGGATTCTACTGCCATTGGCATTATCAGGGGAAGATCATTGCAAGCCACTCCAGGCCTCGCTATTCCACACATCATCCAAAACAATGAGATATGTAATTCTCATCAAACTTTGTCTTAGCTTTTTCTTCCAACTCATCTTGAGTCATCTTACTATAGTCACCATCAGAAGGGTCAGAATTCATACAACCCAAAATCTGAAGCAGTAAATTTTTCTGTTGATGAATTTTAGAAACATTACACCATGCACGTGCATGAAAAAAGCGTCTGACTGAATGATCATTGTAAACATTTCTTGCCAAAGTTGTCTTACCTAGTCCCGCCATACCCACAATAGAAACAACGTCTAACTGCTTTGGTCCTCTGGTAAGTTTCTGAGTTACTGTGGTTACCTCAGCGTCCAATTTCACCACAATTTTGTTGGTTGTCCTGCTTGCACTATGGGTTTCCAATCTTAACTTACTATGACTAATCTTCAAAGCTTCCATCTTAAGAAGATTAACCTCATTAACTTCTTCTCTGATGGAATCAAACAGGATTGGAGAATAACCAGGAATATCTCCAACAAACAAGGATTTTACCAAAAATGTGTCTTCCGTGCCACCTCCATGACACAGCTCCAAAGAGCTTGGTTGCACTGGTCCGTACTATTCTCATAGAAAGATCCTAATAATGCAAGATCTTCTTGGATGTCTTGAATTTGATCCTCTGCACAAGCAATTGAATCAACCTCACAACTTGGCAGATCCTTCAGATTTTCTGAGAGAAAGTCCATAAAACCAAGTTCGTTGGTGCTGGGAAAGATGAATGTTGACGTTGAAACTTTAACAAGCTGAATCTTTCCTCAAAATTGAAAAGCGCAGAATCAAATTCCTTCGCCAAGCCTTCTTTCAATTCGTGCACAAAAAGCAGCCAAATTATGATCCCTGCCTTGTTGACTGCAGCTCCAATAAGATCCTTTTCTTTTTCATGTAGCTTATCAAACTTCTCCTGGTGCTTCTTAAGAATGGTTCTCAAGAATCCTAGTCCCTTATACAGGGGTGGTATTTGATCCTTCAAATAGAACATCAGATCGTTACCACGATTTACTAGGTCGCTAAGATTGTCAAGAAGAAAACATACATAGTCCTCCAATACATCCTTACCCATCTCCAGAGTGTCTGATAATCTTGGCACGTGTGAAGCCATCAAGACTTGGACGTAACCCTCATGGAGTTGGCAGTCAACAGACACGATCATTTGCAGCAGTTCAGAAGTCTTATTCTGCATTTCATCGCACACTGTCTCATCCTCTGTGCTAGCTTGATACATGCAAAATACTCCTGCTGCTGCATTGACAGAGGCAGCTTCCAAATGAGTCAAGAGAATTTCCAACTGCTTCTTCTCAAATCCTCGCAATTCTGCGAACTGAGTAAATCATTTGAAGAATGTCAACTTCTCTTCTAGACCTCTAATCAGATTTCTCAAACTCTGATCATAAACATCTCCCCAGTAGATTAGATCCACCACATTTACTATAGGGTGTAGATGAATCCCATAAGCCTGTCCCAGGATTGCACCGAGCAGTCCAACACAGTGATGTAGGAATCAGATTCATTGATCTTTTGGTTAACAGACCCCATGCTTCCCTTAAAATCATAGATTATGTCCTGTAAATCCCATTTCAATTCAGTGAGAGAAGAGAATCCTTAGTCTACTCTAAGACGAAAGGAGTAAAAGACTTCTCCATTTTTGTGGACTGCTTATGCAATACTGTGCAACAAAGATCCCAGACTTGCATTTTCATCAGAGTTGCAACTGTGGTCGTTGCTGCTCCAGTACGTCCTAGCACACGAGACGAATGTTCGCTGAATTCTTAGCTACATCTTCAGGCTCGTCAACCGACAATCATCTACATACAGATCTTTCGCCAGCATCTCTAGAGCATTCAAGACTTCATCAATGGAATCAAAATCCATCTTTCTGAGGTTCCACTGCAGCAATGGAAGATTTTTTATTTTTTTTTTTTTGGTTGCTTTTACGGATAAACTTTCGAACTTCAGTTGAACAAGAACTGTTCTAAGTATTCTATGCTGCTGAAAATCAATTGTTTTTCTTTTTTTTTTTTTTTTTGGTTTTGCAGAAAAACTTTGAACTCCATTTGAACAAGAACTATAGAATGTATCCTATGCTGCTGTTTTTGGGTGCTTTTACTTTAAAATTGAACTGCAATTGAGCAAGAACTGCAGGAAGCCTGCCATGCTGCAGGAAATGAGGTGATTCTTACTTCTCTTACTTCTATGAATATTTTGGTCAACCCTCTCTTTTTCTTAGTGAAATTATGAGTAGAATGAAACAAGATCCGCCAATTCAGGCAGCCATGTTAAACAACCAGGGAAATCATTAATGGACCAAAAAAAAATTTGTTCTCAAGTCTCATTTCCATCTTTCCACCGATAACACTATTTGACCAGAGCATTAATTTCTCAAGTTTTTTTTATTAAGTAGTCCTCAACTTGACTCAATGATGCAGCATTTTTCATTAAACTAATGAATGAAGCAATCTCTAAGCTTTAATAAAGAAAGGAAAACAACTTCGTTATCTCTTGTATCAATTCTATCCTACGTACCGTCATCTCTTGTATCAACCTGTATTCCACCCTTTTATTTTCTTGCAGGTATTCACGGTATATCAAAATATATGGAAAGTGAAAATACAGGTACTAAACAAAATGTTGAATAGAATTGGGATTTGACACATGAAGATAAGGATGCAAAGCCAAAGAGAACTGACTCATGGGAGGCCAATTTGAGGTGCTAGAAAGAGCAATAAAGCTCAAACCATGAATGAGAAGGGGGAAGATAACTGTAAGAAGTAGAAATGCAAGAATCATGGGGAGAAAGGTGGGGAGGGCAATACCGTTAATCACTACCATGGTCGTCTATTCGCCCTTAATCTTGTACATTTGTCTCAAATGTATCTCAAGAATATATGTATTAACCAACCAATATCATCACATGATATTGATGTACTTAACTAACCTTTATTTCCCAGGTAATCTTACGAATTTTAGAGCACAAACATGTACCAAAAGAGAAATTTGTTGAGGAAAATAACTAAATCACAGCGAGCTAAACGTTCAAGAGAAAATGCGCCTAATAATCTCTCCTTTGGTTTTTTGGTTTATCTTTTAGACACTCTTTCTTCTGATGTAGATGGGATGTGAAGGACCAATTTATTGGTGGTATTGATAGGGTGTTAATTGTTAGTAATTTTATTATTAATTTTTCTTTTTACCGTTGCCAAATATTGCTTTAATTTGCTTTAATTGTCAATATATATTTATATTTAGTATTTAAATATAATTTCAGAAATTGGAGCAGAAACCTCTTGAGAAGATTATTGTAAAGCTTTACACAATTCCGGTGCAAACCAACGAAGAAGAATGGAATTGCATTTGGGAATTCAATTTGGCTAGACAACATATCAAAGTTGGTGGGGACCGCAAATAAGTTGTATTGTCTAAAGTTTGCTTTCTTTGCACATTTGTGGTTTTGCTTTCTTGTTGGTGAACGTGTGCACTTGGTCAAAAAGAAAACCGACACTTGCTTTTGTTTTGAGTGGAGTTGAATTGATTGCGTAGAGAAATGATGACCTCTTTGGTGGACGTGGGGTCATGTCTCCATTTGGCTGGTTTTTTTATGTATGAAGACATTAGACGTGAAAGGGAGCTATTAGACTAGTTTTGAGTTTTCTCTCCAAATAAGCTCCATTGGAGGATAGAGGTAGTTTTTGGTTTTCAGAGGAGGAGTTCTTCCTTCTCTTGTTGCGTGGTGTGCAACTTTTTTTCAAAGAGTCTACGGAGACTCAAGTTGCTTTCTAAATTCTTAGTCAGTTATTTATGTATTTGATTCCAATTAAATTGCGTGGGAATTTTATCATGAGACTTAACTAATCTTCTCATCTAGTCAAGGATCAACGCGAAGACGCAGTCCCAAATATCTGTGAGATCTAATTAATTTTACGTGTTTCTTAATTTGTTAATATTTGCATGTTTTCTATTTTAATTTTCATGGGATTATTTTGTTAATTGGATATCAAGGGCCCGATGTGCAATTTGACTTTTTAATCTTCTGTCAAATTAATCAATTAAATCCGTAATTGTTTAATTGGTTAATATTAGTAGCAACTAGTATTTTCACATACTAGGGGAACATGCAATCTGATTTAAATAACCCTCGTAACGTGTTATTAATTTGGGTTAGGCTTTTCTAGTTTTTAATGCAATTAGGAAATTAATTCCTACGTTCGTACCTAGGAGTATTTCCTGGTTAGGGGTAATCAACGGTCGTACCTTGGTTATCAATAAATTAAGGAAAAGCTGGTCGTTAGAGCTTATCGGCGACTATAACTAACCTGTTAATAAAATTAAGTGAACCTTCTTTGCATCAATGATCGGATGAATGGACTGTGTCTGCGTAGTTGTATCCTTGGTTAGAATTTATTTATTATTTATTTAATTGCTATTTACATTCCTATTAATTAATTATTTATTTTTGGTTAAATTGTTTAATTATTTTTAGTTTATTTCTGATAAAAATCCCCCGTGAAAAGAATCGAATTTTTCCCAGTCTCTGTGGATTCGACCCTATTCACTACTATACACAGAAAATTTATTTTTCTCGAATAGATATTTATTATTGCACAGGCTCGACACCTGTCAGGTATTGTGGACTTCTTCACCCTGGTGAAGCACTCTTGACTTCAGGTATAATAAGAACCAGTAAATCACTAACCATAGGCCTGGCAGCCAGCCGTTGTTTAATGAGGTAAGATGTTTTACTCTCTCGTGCTTTTAGGCTTTAATTCCGGAAATATATATTCTTGGATACAGATTATGCAAGTTATGTGCACTTGTGCTTAACCTAGGTTACAAGAAGAGAGATATTATCAGAACCAGGTTGATGAATTTATCAGAACCATACAACTGTGTTCTACTTATCGAACAGACTACAAGAGCAAGTTCAAAATATCTGTTCTTACAACTTGGATGCAACATAGGATGTCATCAATACTCATTAAACTGTAAAGAAAAAGAACAAGTTGATGCACTTGTTAGTCAGTCACTGACAAAATGAGGAAAAACCAATGAAAATATTGACACTGATAATTTCCTTTAGAGATCATTTCCTTCTCTTAGATAATTTTTTCCCGTGGAAAGGAAGAAAATAGGAATCATGATAAAATTTCATTGAAAAGTACAATTAATAGCTGTTACTGTGTCATACCTACAAAAGTCTATAGCAAAAAGTTTCAAATTGTCAAAAGTAATAAATAAGTTGTAAAATACATTAAATACATGTATGAATATGATTTAAACCATATTAAATAATCTAGACGACAATGTTAGAGCTCTATATAGAAGAAGAAAAAGAACCATATTCATTTGTGTATTAACGCAAACAAGTTTGCAAGATTTAAAACTGATAAAACAAACCCTACAGTGTCTCAGTATTTGAGTGTTAAGACCTACCCTTCAGTATTTTTACCTTGGCAAACAGTCTTGGAGATTTATATAGGACTAACATTTAGAGTTTTTGTTAGTCTTATTAAATTTTAATTATAATAGTTCATGCAAATTATAAAATATGAAAATCAGTGGCACAAAAAATCATTTTCATTTTAGTCAAAGTGAGTAAAATTTTACTTTTTGAAGGCTGGAAATGACATTCTTGATTGAAATGGTGAAAGAATGAACTTAACTTGCAATTTGGCATTTCTCTCTCTTCTTTACTAGCACTTAAATAGAAAGGTCTTCTTGAATTTTGTTCATCAATCTCTTGGGTTATTAAGGATTACAATCTACCATTTTTTAATTTAGTTAGTTAAGGCTTTGATTGATGCACTATGTTCTTAATCACTGATCATATTTTTTCCTTTGAAGAAAAAGAAAAATACTAAAACTATATTTAAAAATAGAAAGCACAAACTTTTATTGTTAGGAAAAGTGAAGTAAGAAAAAATAAGGAAAAAAAACTGATAGCCTGGTAGGAGCTACAAAGATAATGCTTCATTTCTTCAAATTAAGTCACATGATGTTTTAGTTTCAAGATTGAGACAATAGATGATTAGTTGCAATAGTGAATAACTAATTAGTCTCAAAGAGTTTTCAAAAAGTATACATTGATCAAATGGTTGAGGAAAATCTAGAAACTAGATGACCACAAATATTGATGAGAAACTATTCACAACAAAGAATAAATTTACATGTACAAGTAACATAACTTTGTCAAGGTAATTAAACATCTAGTAGAAAGAAACAAAATAAGTTTTCATCAGACGTTCTTCGTACTGCGTATTACATGAGATAAAATAAAAAAGAATTTGAGCTTTGTGGTTAATATGAACTAAGACTTGAAACAAATGTCAAAATGTGTATATTCCAAAATTAGAGGGAAATGCATTTCTAAAAGTCAAAATAAAATATTTATGAATGCAAATAACATTTATTAATATGGCGTTGTCACATACATTTATTATTGTAGTACTTTTTTGACGTAATATATATAGGAAAAAGGTAGTTAAAAAAGATAAAAATATGATTTGAGAACGTTTTTATGATGTAATTAAAATTTTATTTTCAAATAATTACATATCCAAACAATCCCATAATGTGCATGCTTGCTTCATCTTTATAAATTTTATTATGAAGGAAATGTATGAAATTGAAACAAATTAGATAAAAAGAAGTTTACGCTTCCCGCGCAATATTTGGAACCATATTATACTAAAAAATGTGCGGATTGATTCTCTCTCATATGGATAGTGAATCATTTATTAGGTTACTAATGTATTATATTCTCATTAAAAGCAATATATTTCTATAATTCATGTTATCCACGACTAAACTATACTATAACCAAAAGATAAACATTTCAAAAGAATATGAACAAATCCAAAAAAAACTAGGATAGGAAATAATGAAAGAAAAAAAATTTTAATCAACCATTAAATAGTTTGCCTAATTGAGGATGCAATTTAAGAAGTTTATGAGTTTTAAATTTTTTTAGCTTCCAATCGTATTACATAAATTTAAAAGTTAAACGAGTTTTGCGCAACAATATACACGTGCAATGCACCTGCTCTTTCCTAGTGTGTGTATGTGACTATATAGTGACTATATATATATATAAATGTATATATGTATGTATAGATAATCGTGTCAACTCACGAACTAATAAGTTAAATATCTTTGAATTCAAATTCGAACTCGAGCTTGAACTCGAGCTACTACTTGCTCGACTCGTATGCAGCCCTACCGTGCAACGGATAGTTTGAGATCAAGTAAACTAGACACCAACTCATCTCCACTTCATTTCAAAATCTGTTGATTTTAAAATAATGGATTCTTTGTGCTTCAAAAAACAGAGGGTTATCTAAATGAAAAGAATAACGGAAGAAGAAGACTGCAAATAAGTACTAGAACTCACAAAAATTTTTCACAATGATACAAAAGTTGAGGAAGGTTAACGTTCATTATCCTTTTAATAGTAAAATGGCAATTTTACATCAAGTATGGTATCTTGTATTGCAATGATATTCCATATCCGGATAAATAAACCGTGCCATGTCAAATATACCTCAAGCGATATTATTACTATTAAGGGATTTTGAACACATCATTGTGGAGAAAAAAATGTACAAGTCATCACTATCAAATATAAGAGCAAAATACATGGTAATCATGTTGGTTACCTCTACCTAAATCTGGGCCAACCTATGAAACTGTCCGTGGTGATCAAAGCACACAAGTAGATTACGTATTGGTTCTTCCTCAAACAAAAATCTGGAAATCCTCATTTCCAGAGTCTTTTTGCTCTTCCTCAATCTCCCAAAGTGAACTTACAACCGAATCTGAACAGCCGTGCACCTCAATCATTTCAAGAGTTGAAACTTCCCCAAAACAAGAAGGGACTTCTTTCAGTCTCCAGCATTGAACCAAGACTAATTTCCGCAGACGCGGGAACTGATCAGATGAGCATTTCCATCGAGATATACGCAACTGTTCCAGTTTCAAGTATTTGAGCTGAGGAAACTCAAATCCTTCCAGGTCCCATGTGCCCTGCGGAGAGACTTCACGATCTAATTTGATCACCTCAAGACTGCACAGTTTCCCAATCAATGGAATTTCACTCCAATGGAAATATGACAGACTCAACTTCTTTAGACTCATCAACTGAAAACGAAACTCAAGATGGTACCTTCTCGGGTGATCCAGCATGAGCTTGAGCGATTCCAATTGGCTCAGAAAGCCCATTGCCACAATCTTATTACAATCTCCATTATATTCCTCAGATTTGAAGAGCCTGCATTTTAGTCTGCGGATGTTTGGGAATTTTTCCAATATCTTTTCGCTTTGTACTGAACTAAGAACCAGAACAGAAATGCTGTCTAAATTATGTAAACTCCCCAGGTTCTCTTCAGCCCAGTTAAAAGTAAAACCATTTCTTGCGTCTAGTCGCCTCAATTTCTTCAAATTCCATATAGTATCTGGCAGTAGGACATTTCCGCCTGCTTGGACGATAAAAGTTTCTAAATGTGAGAGATTGCCTACTGATGAAGGAATGGAGTTGGCTGAAAGATGAATTGCCAAGTACCTCAGCTCAGAAAGCAACTCTATCTCGCTTGGAAGTTCACCATGTAGACAAAATTGTCTCAAGTCCAATACTCTCAGACGCTTGAAAAAGAGAAATAGGAATTTAGGAAAACCACTTCGGAGCATCTCATCCTCCTGAGCATAGAACATCAGAGAGTTCACACGGGTTGAGCATAGCCTTGAGTCCGCAAAAATATCCTGCCCTGAAAAAATGCATAACCTTT